CCAGGTAGGCCCTGAGGGTGGGAAACTGGGCACAGGGCCACCCTTCCTCTCAACCTACTACACTCAAGCTCAAGCCGGTGACTCGGAGATCAGACCTCCACATACCCGGCCTGGGCAATGCTACTTGGGTGCACTGAGAACATCTCTGATGTGCCAAAACCCACTTCAAGAAGCCCGTCCAACAAAACATACTTGCCAGTTGCTCTTGGCCATTTGGACTGTTTCCTAGGCAGACCCACATTCACAAAGGTCTGTTGCTCAGGAAATGGACTCAGTAAAGATCTCCAAATGAGGTCAGGGCCTCACTCAGGAACCTTCCTCCCCACTCACACACATTCCTCCCCTAATGCTAACTTATAAACAGAAATTAGAAAGCAAAAAAGATCATTTCCATGTAAAGTCATTTCCCCTCTCTCTCTCTCCTCTCTCTCTCTCTCTCTCTCTCTCTCTCTCTCTCTCTCTTTCTCTCCTCTCTCTCTTCCTGTTGCCTCTTCCCCTGGAGCTCAGCTCCCTCTTTGGAATGCTAAGGAAATGACCATGGAAACTTGAAGTGAGGTTTTCCTTTCCCCAACAGGTTTTTCCTGGTAATCTCAATCCAATCCTAATAGTTAAAAAAAACAGCCTAGGGGGATGTCTCACCCTAGCCCAGACACCATACACCCTGTGCCCTGGCCGAGCCTGAGTTTCTTTCCTCAGCACGGCTATCAGGGTCCAGTCAAGACCGAGCTGTAAGACTGAAAATGTTTCCTGTTCATCCTAAATATTCTTCTGTCCCTCTGTCCTAAAGATGACCAGCCAGGCCAGTCAGGGAACCTAAGTGCCTCTGGCTCAGTGGTTCTCAACCATCCTAATGCTGCAACCCTTTAATACAATTCCTCATGCTGTGGTGACCCCCAACCATATAATTATTTGTTGCCACTTCATAACTGCAGTTTTGCTTCTGTTATGAATTGTGATGCAAATACCTGGCATTTCCAATGGTCTTAAAGGGGTCGCAACCCATATGTTGAGAACCATTGCTCTAGCTCTTCCTGACATACCTCTCCTAACTCAAAGCCCCTTCTCAAGACCCCAGCACTCTTCTCTAGCAAGCGTCATACTGGCTAATTGGATATACTATCCTGGATGCAAAGCAAAAAAGGTAGTAGTCATGGAAGCAAGATGAATTATTTTCTTGCCGTGCAGTCTCATCATCTGTAAAATGGGATGCTGAAGCCCTCTTTGACTCCCTCTCCAGGCTGAAGCAAGCTTCCACGCCTCAGTCATCTCATCTGCTAATTGCACATAATAACACCATCCTTGCCCACTTCACAGAGCTGCTCAAACACTCAAAGGCGTTCTGTGTGCCATAGTGTTGTATCCACAGAGGCATTATGAGTGAGCCTCTCCCAGGGGAGAGTCATCAAGCCTACCAACAGCTTCCTGGAAACCTGGCCTCAGCCAGGAGGTGTGAACCTGTGGGCAGAATGAGTGGGACACAGCAGACCTGTAGGAAAGAGACACTAGGAGAGCCAGGCCTGTCAGGATCCATCAGATCTCACAACTGCTGCTGAAGTCCAGCAGGCCTGTCTGGGAGGTGAGCAGCCCCTTGGCTCCTTCACGTTCTTCTCCATCTCTGTGGTACTTCTGAAGCACTCTGCATTCCCCTAGAAGGCAGGCTTGCCTGCACATGGGGATCTGGGAGAGCATGAGTCTCTCCTAGCTGGCCTGTATAACATCAGAATGCAAACAAAGCCAGGCAACATCGGGAGATTCAGTGGAATAATGGCAACAGCACTTGGGACGGCTGCCTCGCCACTAACCAGGAAGCCCAGAGGCACTGCACAGGATCATCCACAGGCCTTTGATTTCCTCCTTGGCAGCATTCCAGCTAGGCTGGGAATGGGGAGACACCACAAAAGAAGACAGTAGCAGAACTAGGGAGACCCAGTGTGCGGTGTTACATTCCAAAAATTCAAAGAAGCTTTCAGCTCTGTTATTAGCATGTGTGCGAGAACCAAGCCAATATTCTTTCTTTCCATATGTCAGCTTTATCATGTGCAAAGAGCTCACATCTCTAGCACAAAATGAGGGAGAAGGATAACCCCTAGGGGCAGAGACAAAAATCCTGATTTCTTAAGCATTGCAACAAGAGTTTGCCCTTAGCTAACAGGTCCCTTGGTCCTTAGGCACACCATGAAGAAAGTAGCCCTCTCCACACACAGGCAAATGTGGGCACTCTGGGACCAGCAACTCCAGCAGAGAAGGAAAGCAAGGCACAGTGATTCTCAAAAGTGGGGTCTGGTGCAGGAAGTTCTTAAAACCAACCACTTGGGTCCTGGGCCTGAGGATGCCTTTGTCCACGCCCTCCTCCTAAGGAAATGCAGATGTAGAGGAAGGTCTGTCTTCCTTAGTCAAGCATTTTGGGTTAGAAGCAGAATACTGTGCCGCATAGCAACAGCAGTAGGCCACCTTCTCTCCCCTTACACAGGCGTACAGGGATTTCCAACCCTCCAGGGAATCAGAACCCAGTGTTCAGAAGGGGAAATCCCAGCCTAGGCTGGGACCTGGTGCTATTGGTAACAAGTGGACTCTCAAGGGCTCAGGGTGGCATGGACAAGATTGACATGCCAGAGGTGAGGGACCACTACCCAAAGTCCTGCTCTTCTGCCCTGTTACTCCCTACCTGGCCCCCATGAACCCGGGAAACACCCCCTACCCCCACCCGCCTCCGCCTTCTCCTTGAGCCCAGTCTGCCCCTAGTGGGGAATCATTCCCTGCGGCATTGCCTGCGGGTTAGGGTGCTGGCAACCTACCTCAGTGGCCATCTTCAGAGGGTGCTGACCGCTCCTGGGTGGCTTGAGGTCTGGTCCCGGGGGGCTGTCCGCGGTGCTGACTCGAAGAGCGGGTGGGCTGGCCGAGGCCAGCAGGGGCCTGGGTGCTGTCCTCGGTGCTAATGAGATCTCCGAAGCCCGAGACGTGCTCTTGAGGGCTGCGGGGTCCCGGAGAGGGCGTCTGTGCTGTCCACGGTGCTGATGCGGGAGCCGGGCCGGGGAGACGAGGCCGCGCCCTAGGCTCCTCACCGCCCGATCGCCTGCTGCCAGGGCTCCTGCAAGCAATGGCCCGGTTGACAGCGGCAGCAGCGGCGGGTACGGGGGCGGCGGGGGAAGGAGGGGCCAGTGCCTCGGCGGGCGGGGAGGGGAAAGCCGCGGCCCCCAGACTCCGGCACCCGCCGGAGAGGAGCCCCGCCCGCGGTCACCGGCTCCTCTCCCGCCCAGCCCCGTCCGGACCC